TGTTGTTGTTGTTTTATATTTTGTGTCTTCAATATAAACAGAGGATTTTTCTTATCTTTTATCTCTAACTGTTATTCCCAGCATAATATGTAGGACACTTTTTATTTGTATATATCTGTTTTATTATTAGACATATCACTGATATGGCATAGGAGTATTTGAGATAATGTTCTTTGGATTTTCCAGATTCTCATAAAATAGGAAGAATTTTGAATTGACCATTTCAATATTTATTTCTCAATTTTTTATTTTGACTGTCATTTTTATTATATCATTATCTAAGACTTGTTTTGTTACCATAACAAGAATTCCTTCAACTTTTTATTTTATTTTTATTTTAAGTTCTGGGGTACATGTGCAGGTTATGCAGGTTTGTTACATAGGTAAGCGTGTGCCATGATGCTTTGCTGCACCTATCAAGGTATCAAGCCTGGCATGCATTAGCTATTTTTCCTGATGCTCTCCCCGCCCTGCCCTCCCCTGACAGGGCCCAATGTGTGTTGTTCCCCTCCCTGTGTTCTCATTGCCCATCCATGATAGACTGGATAAAGAAAATGTGGTGCCTATGCACCACAGAATACTATGCAGCCATGAAAAGGAACGAGATCATGTCCTTTGCAGGGACAGGCATGAAGCTGGAAGCCATTATCCTCAGCAAATTAATGTAGGAACAGAAAACCAAACACCACATGTTCTCACTGACAACTTTTTATTTTTAGGTATTTGCAGCCTGTTGTTTTAAGATAGATTATCTTTATCGTATAAACCAGAATGTTCCACATTGGTACTATCAATATTCGGGGCTGGATAATTCTTTGCTGGGGGAGGGAGAGCCTTTTCCTGAACATTGTAGGGTATTTAGCAGCACACTTACCCTCTACCTACATACAGTAGCACCACCTCCAAGTCATGACAATCAAACCTGTTTCCAGGTACTGCCTCCTGAGAGGCAAAAATGTCCCTGAATGAGAAACACCAATGCAATGCATTCTCCTTCTCTTCCTATTTTAATCATAGCTTTTGGCAGGACTGATGTTGAATTTTACCTGATGTCTTTTTGATGTGATAAATGTTTAATTATATATTTCCTGATTTGGTGCCATCCTTACAGTAGTGGAGAAAGGCTTCATTCGTCAAGGTTTGTTATTTTTCATATAAGGTTAGCGTTCATTTTGTATAACTTTTACCTCTATGCTTATGTGTGAAGTTGACCTGCAGGTTTTGTTTGTTTGCCACGTTTGTCAGGTTCGAGTACAAAAATAATGCTTGGTTGGCAATTAGCAGGATTACTTTTTGTTCTTAAGACATCTAAATCAACCTCCTATACAAGCATCCATTTTAATATATTTTTACATTTTTCCTTTGTTATTCAACTACCCTACAGTTAAGATTAGCAATTTGTACCACCATGAGATACCATCTCATACCAATCAAAATGCGATTATTAAAAAGTCAAGAAACAACAGATGCTGGCAAGGCTGTGGGGGAATAGGAACACTTTTACACTGGTGGTGGGAATGTAAATTAGTTCAACCATTGTAAAAGACAGTGTGGTGATTCCTCAAAGACCTAGAACCAGAAATGCCATTTGACCCAGCAATCCCATTACTGGTATAAACCCAAAGGGACATAAATCATTCTATTACAAAGATACATGCACGTGTATGATCATCGAAGTACTATTCACAATAGGAAATGCATGGAATCAACCCAAATGCCCATTAATAATAGGCTGGATAAAGAAAATGTGGTACATATACAACATGGAATACTATGCAACCATGAAAAGGAAAGAGATCATGTCTTTTAGGGGCATGGATGATGCTGGAAGCCATTATCCTCAGCAAACTAATGCAGGAACAGAAAACCAAACACCACATTTTCTCTCTTATAAGTGGAAGCTAAACAATGAGAACACATGGACACAGAGAGGGGAACAACACACACTGGGGCCTGTCGGGGGACAGGCTGGGGGAGGGAGACCATCAAGATAAATAGCTAATTCATGCTGGGCTTAATACCTAAGTGATGGGTTGATAGATGCGACAAACCACCATGGCACACATTTATCTATATAACAGACCGGCACATCCTGCACATGTATCCCCAGAACATAAAAGAAAATAAAATAAAATTTTTAAAAATTAGTAATTTGAAATTTCCTAGAAAGTCATTTATTTCAACAAAATTTTCTATGATAATATATCTATATTTTCTACCACTTTTTAATTTTTTGGAATACATGTATATTCTCCTTTTTTATTTCTAATGTTTTTACATGTGTTTTCTCACTCTGTTTTACTTAAGTAACTTGTCAGATGTCTTTGACAAATTCTAATTCTTAGACTTGGCAACATACAGTCTGTTTTCTGATTTACTAAGTTATGTTGTATCTTTACCAATATCTTTCTAGTTTATTTCATTGTTGTCTTTCTAATTTATTGTGACTTAAAAGCTTAATTCATGCATTTTTATTCTACATTCAATAATGTTGGTGTTTAAGGCTATGTGTTTTCTTCTGAATATAGCTTTGAGCATACCTCATAAGGTTGATATATGGTATTCTCATTGTAATTATTTTCCAAGTACTCCCAAATATAGTTTTGATGTCCTCTTTGATCTGAAAGATAATTCAAAGAGGTCTTAATAATTTTAGAAATTGCTCATTAAAGTTTTTAGTTACCCTCCTTTGTTGATTTTATAAAGTAAAGGGTCTGCCCACTTTTTGATTCTTTGAATATATCCAACCTTTTTTTATAACCAATATATACTATTTAGTGAATATTTCATAGGCTTTAATATAGTCTCTCATTTGAAAAAAAAAAAAAACTCAATTTAAGAAACAACTTTATTATTTGAAATCATCTAAATCCTTGGATTCCTTGCCTACTAGATCTGCCAAATACCAAAAGAGATGTCTTAAAGTTTTTCATTACAACTGTGAATCTCTCCACTTCTTGTACTTCTAACAATCTTGCTTGCTGCATCTTACTGCAATGCTATTTGGCATATTAGGATCCACGACTAGTTCAGTCCAGTGGCCTGCAAGCCCAGTGAAGACAGGAATCACATCTGACCTGTTTAACGTTGAGTCCCAGCCCCTGGCCCAGTATTTACTAAATAATTATAGGAATCACTTGACAAGTGATGGAGATTCAGTGTTAAGTACATGCCCTTCAACAAACATACTTTACCTATTAGATCTAGTGTTTCTTACCCTCAATTCTACTTTGTCTGATGCCTAGAAAGATAGAGAATAGATTTTTTTTGGAAATAGGATTTCACTCTGTTGTTCAAGCTGGAGTGCAGCAGCATGATCATAGCTCACTGACGCCTCAGCCTCCTGGGCTCAACGGATCCTCCCACCTCAGCCTCCTAAGTAGCTGGGACCGCAAGCATGCACCGCCATGCCTGGCTAATTTCTTTTTGCTTTTTGTAGGGATGGATTATCACTATATTGCCCAGGCTCGTTCAGGACTTCTGGGCTCAAGTGATCCTCCAGCCTTGGCTTCCCAAAGTGCTGGGATTACAGGCATGAGCCACCACGTCTGGTCAATGCTGTCAGTATGTGTCCCTATATTTTGTTAGTTTGTTTTATCTGATATATATTACATATCTTGTTATTGGGTTTTGGTGGGTTTTTCTGTTTTTTTGTTTTTGTTTTGCTTTGCTTTTTTGTGTTTCTTTATCTGCCCCATCCTTAGTTCTATGAAATCTATTTTCTTTGTGATTGTCTTTAATATACAGAGATACAGTTTAGAATTTAAGTAGCAAATGGTTTCAAGTGTTTCCAGAGTATTACTTAACCTCTACATTTAACTCCTATATTTTTCTGATTTTCAGGTCGGAGAGGCAATTGAATCTTTTAGTTCTTCTTTTTAACACAATGTAGTTAACACATTTTTATTCTCCTCTTCCAGACCCCATGCTACTATTTCTTCTCCAACTACTCCTCAGACACTTATTAAATAAACTAGGATTTTATAGGTTGACTGTTATTAATTTTTACACAATAGGACTTCTCTTTGGAAGAGACTTTTTAACACTTGAATTCAGTTTTTTGAATAATGTCTCAATTATTTACAGAGCATTTTTTTTAAGTATAAATGAAGTTTATCCTTCTTCTAGGCGAAGCTGCACCTTTCACCCCTACACCAGACATTCCTTTGCTATGAACACACAGGGTGCTGGGAAGACACAGGATTCCCATAGGCAGTTCTGGTTCTCCTATGGGCCAAGCAGCTCGAGTGCCCAAAGGTAGCTCTCTGGGAATGGTTGTGGGTGAGGAAGCTGAGAGCAAAGTATCCATTGGAAGCTGGTAGAGGCCGAGCGTGTGGCTCATGCTGTACTCCCAGCACTTCAGGAGGCTGAAATAGGAGGATCAGTTGAGCCCAGAAATACTTCTGGGCAGTGTAGAGAAAACCTCCCTCTACAAAAAATTTTTGTAATTTTGTAAGACTAGTCTGGGCAGTGTAGAGAAATCCCCTCTCTTAAAAAAATTTTAAAACTTAGCTGGGCATGGGGTTGCACACACACCTGCAATCCCAGCTACTCGGGAGGCTGAGGCTGGAGGATCCCTTGAGGCCAGGAGTTTGAGACCAGTGTGGGCAACATAGCAAGATCCCATCTCTATAAAAAAATTCAAAAAATTTTAGCTGGGTGTGGTGGTGCGTATTTGTAGTCCCAGCTACTAGGGAAGCTGAGACAGGAGGATTGCTTGAGCCCAGGAGTTCAAGTCTGCAAGTGAGCTATGATCATACCACTGCACTCCAGCCTGGTGATAGAACAGACCCTGTCTCAAAAAAAAAAAAAAAAAAAAAAGAAGAAGAAGCTGGTAGAGAAATTGGAGGGATCTGGATAGGGCACAACGCATGTCTGCTACACCAGCACACCAGTGCAAGTAGCAGGTGGGAGCCATGTCCCCAAAAACCCCCCACTGGGCTAGGCTCGAGCCACAGCTGCGCCTGCTGCTGGTGACATGCTAAGCCTGCCCTTCTCACCTGGCCTTCACACGTAGACTTACTCCCATCATCCGACTTTGCATCAGCTGCATTTCAGCCAAGGTTTCCATTAATGGGTTATTATATTATATCACCTGCAAAACAGAGAAAAGGAGGGCTGTTCTAAAATTCTAACGTGAAAAGTGAGCGTGTCAAACGCAGAATGTGCGGACACAGCGACCATGGAGTTTACCACTTTATTAAAATTGTGATTGTTCACATAAAGACTCAACCAGGTCACATATTAATAATTATCACTGACAATCTTTAACATCAGCTGAAGCCCACAAGTGAAGCAATATTACATCTCCCGGTCTCATTTATCTTATTGCTTATGGCCCCTCTGTGGTCAGCACGTTGTGAGCTTCGTGGGCATTTAATTATGAGCACATCATAAATGTAGCTGACAGGGCAGAGGCTGCCCGGGGATGCTCCTGGCGAGGGGGTCACAGTGGAAAGTAGTTAGTTGGTGCACCCTCCAGAACAGGGCGTGGCAAAGACCACTTCTTCACGTCGCCCCGCTGCGGTTGCCTGTTCCCCACTGCAAAGGGGCAGTAGGCGGGAATGTGCTCAGTTATTGACAGCTCTCTTACCTTCAGAAGCATCAGCCCACTTGCTTTAAAACCTAAGACCAGCCCCACAGTCTCTCCTGTCCTGCTTAGCTCTGAGAGTCTTTTGGCTTGCCTCTCTGTGTGTCTTCGGCTGTTTACAGAGCTCTCTAAATGTGGACTTCACTCTGATGCACATGAAGAAGGTGGACTTTCTCCCCATACTCCAGGGGTCCAGAAAGCCCACTGTCCCCTTCAGCTGTCCCCAGTGTCTTCTGTGCAAATCACTCAGCTCTAACGAGGTGCAAAGGACAGTGAGGGTCCCAAGAACATCCCCAGCACTCACCTTGATGCGGGAAATACCTTTTTACTACAGTATATCAAAAAAAGGGGCTCTGCAGTACAAGGAGTGGAGTGGGGAGGGCTTTTCCGTTCGTTTCTAATTAGCCACTGTCCTGATGTGATAGCTAAGGCGTCGTGCGCTAATAAGGCCACACACCTCCCCAGTGGGCTTGGGAGAGCAGCAGGACTTCCCCGTGTCAGGTTTTAAAGCAACCGTCCTCGGAGGGTGGAGGTACGGCTTCCTCCACCACCCCAGCAGGCTCGATGGGGAAGACAAAGCGTATAATAAGGGGCGTGCGATGAAGGGGCTCCGAGGAGAAAGCTGAAAAGTAGCTATCATGTTGGCAGATAAATTCTACACACAATTATTCATTCCTAGCCTCTTGACATGTAGATTAATGAGTTTGATAACCCAGGCTTCTAAGAAGTAGATTCCACTCTGTTCGCAGTCTTTCTCCCCCTCTACCTACAAACGGCACACAGGTCTATGGAGAAAAAACAAATCGATACATTTGCAGTAGCCATCACTGCTTTCTGCGATTGGAGCCCTACGTCAAAAATATGATGCATCTTCTCCTTCACGGCCTGGGAGAAGCCAGTCATGGCCAGGCAGACCCTGGAGGGGACTGTGGGCTTCAGATCTTGGACTCCACTAAGTCCTGAACTTATTTTTAGTGGGCTGGGCATGGAGCATTTTCAACTCCAGCCCCGAGGGTAAAGGGACATTTCTTGACACAGCAGCCGTAATCTGCTATTGTGCCTTAGGTTGAAGTCCCCACTGGCACAGTCCCAGGTCAGCACTCAGACACCCTCGCCAAGGAAGAGCCACACGGAGAAAGGAATGATGCAGGAGCCGGACAGACACCTGCACCCACGCCAGGTATTTCCCTTAGGACTGGTGAACAGCACCAAACTCCAACCCAAGCGTAAGGAGTTCAAATCCTTGTAAAGAGAAATTGGGTTCAGTGTGCATTTATCAAGATGATTTGGTTTTTATATTATGACTGTGCCACCCCCAACCCACAGTGATGCAGATTTTGGATATGTATTTCGATTGTCCATTTTTTTAATTTTCTCGTTAGCCATTTAGCAAAAGCATTTCTAACTCCCAGCCCCATTTTATTTCCTTTTCATCACATTGGTGTTTATGTTCTAAAGATAAAACACATGGGGGAGGTAGAGAGGGTAGAGGGGAAGACTTTTCACCTGATACCCTGCTAGGAGGCTTTATGGCGACCCTCCTCTGCCAGGCAAGTCCTCTGGGAAACAGAGTAGGTCTCAAAAACCTAGAGGGGGCCTGGGCACAGTGGCTCATGCCTGTAATCCCAGCATTTTGGGAGGCCCAGGCAGGTGGATCACTTGAGGTCAGGAGTTCAAGACCAGCCTCGCCAACATGGTGAAATCCTATCTCTACTAAAAATACAAAAATTAGCCTAGTGTGGTGGCACATGCCTGTAATCCCAGTTACTCAGGAGGCTGAAACATGAGAGTCACTTGAACCTTCAAGGCAAAGGTTGCAGTGGACCGAGATTGCACCACTGCCCTCCAGCCTGGATGACAGGGACTCTGTCTCAAAATGAAGGTGGAGGGGAACCTAGAAGGAGTGGAGGGAGTTCTGTCTGGGTGCTGGGTGACTCAATGATTCACCTCCCCCAGTCATCACAGATTCAATGTCTGTGAAATCTTCGCGGATGCCGGGGATAAGGGGTACAGGAAGACCATTCTGCAAGACACCTTCTTTTGCCCTCCAGGGAGAGAAATGAAAGAAGTGGAAAATCACCCTGCTCACAAAAATCCAATGAGGTCTTTGATTAGCAACATGGACCAGTTTAAGCATTTGAATTTCAACATAACTTCCACGCCACTTTGAAAAATACAGCCGTGAGCTACACAAAGAGGGAAAAGTCTCTTTCCCTTATTTGAGGAGCCAGGCTTCTCACAGAGTCTTGGGGTGAGGATCGCCAGGTTTAGCATGTAAAAATTCAAGATGCCCAGTTACATTTGAATTTCAGATAAACAGGGAATCATTTTTTTATATAAACATGTCCCAAATATGGATGGAACTAAAAAGATAATTTACCATATACTAAATACTAAGATAATATACCAAAAAATATTTTAGTATTCGTATGTCCTATGCATATTTGAGACATATTTATACTAAAAAATTATTCAATATCTGAAATTCAAATTTAAGCAGACATTGAGTATTTCATCTGACAACCCTATTCAGGGTGTCCTTGTGAAACTGCTCAGAGAGGAACCAGTGTGTGACCAAGGAGAAAAGCGTGAAAATGGGCTCAAAATTCACGACAGCCACACCCAGGGGCCTCTTCCATCCGTCCATCTGGCCTCTCCAAAAACATCCTGCTTCCTACTGAGCCCAAAGCCCAAACCACCGAAAGAAAACTCGGACCATTGTTCCCGAGTAGATGAGAAGCCCCCAACTCTGGCTTCTAGGGCTCTGTATATAAGACCTTACATTAGAGAGTATGGGGCTGGGAGGACACCAAGGTAGAGGTGTATGGGGCTCAAGCTGAGGGTATGGGGCCAGAGGGACACCAAGGTAGCCCTCAAGAAAGCACAGCCCGTGGGATTGTCCTTGACAGCTGCCCTACTGCTCCCCAAATACAGAACCTCCTACCTCACCATGGCCCGGTTGGGCTTTTTCTAGAAGACAGCGGAGGTTTGAAGGTCCTACTCTCCCACCTGGCCTGGCAGAAATCCCAGAACAGAACTGCAGAACGCAATTGGGGCAGGGAGTGGGGAGCAAAGCCAGCACTGCTTCCTTTTTCAAATCAATTATGGCCAGACTGACTCATCTTCTCTCATAGACCAGAAAGTCCCACATCTTGTTGTTTCTTAATCATATGGAAGCCTAAATATAGACGTATCTGCAGAAGGACAAGCCTGAGAAAACCAGTATCCTTGTTCTCCCAGGGGAAAGCTCCATTCTCACTCTTTTCTGCTGGATTTTAAGTTTGGGACTGTGCCCCCAGTAGTGCACAGAGGATGCGCCTGCCTGTCGGGGCAATGGCCATAATTCAGACCTGCCTCCAGGTTAGCTGCTGCACCCGGGTCCCCATCACACACTATTTACTTGCTCCTGGAATGATCTCCAGCTTCCAACCCAAGAGCAGTGTGATGAGAAGGAAGCCAAGTACCTCGGCTGCATCTCAGCAGAGTGCCTTTGTGAATGGAACCCTCACTGATGTCTGGCCTTGAGCAGACACCCAAGGCTGCAGCCTCCAGAGAATATCTCAGCAGAAGAGTCCCACTGAGCACCAGGCCAGGCACAGCAGAGTCAACCAGGCACCCAGGAGGGAGGAGAGCCCCCACAATGCTCTGGGTCTGTGTCCTCCTTCCCTTCATGCATTTCTGGGAAGTAGCACAAAGGATGGCTTTGTCAGAAAATAGCTTATTTCCCTTTGGGATGGGTCTTGAGCCCAAAGTTTCCTAAAGCCGGGGCCGTGGAGAAAATGGAGCCGTGCTTCAGAGAACAGGTGCAAATGAGATAGCCATTCCTATGATCTGAACGAAAGTCAGTTTGTCCAGGGAAAGCATTTTAGAGGAGATCAAAGTCATATCAGAATAGCCACGAAAAGCTTTTTCAAACCACAGCAGTCAAATTTAGCAATGAGAAGCATGAGACCAGGGAAGAGTGGCCAATAGCCTGAGATTCTTTGGTGCAACATGAGTGATGGCAAAATCAGGATGTCACTGCCAGCCAACCAAAAGCCAGGCGTCGTGCAGTAGGCAACCTGGGCAGCAGAACCTGGGCTTTAAGGCTAAAGGAGCTTCTGTCTGCTAACTCTCCTGCGGTCTCCATGCCATGCCCAAAACACAATCTGACGTCCTCTTGGCATCCCTAGACTAGAGCTGGAAACCTGGCAGCTCATAAGCCACAATACACTGCACGATCTTGTTTGGTTCACACAGTAGTGGGTAAATATTTGAATTAATTGCCAATATTTTAAAATCAGATTTTGGGCCAGTGGCAGTGGCTAACACCTATAATCACAATACTCTGGGAGGCTGTGGTGGGCAAATCACTTGGGGTCAGGAGTTCGAGGCCAGCCTGGTCAACATGGTGAAATCCTGTGTCTACTAACAATACAAAACTGGCCAGGTGTGGTGGCACGTGCCTGTATCCCAGCTACTAGAGAGGTTGAGGTAAGAGAATCGCTTGAACTTAGGAGGCAGAGGTT